GTGATCCCATAACGGATAATAGTCCAAGGGCTGGACCAGGGTAGGAAGCTTTCTTTTCCCATCTGTAATCCAGGCTCACAGGAGGCAGCAGATGTCCCTGAGGAGTGTATCCAGCCTGTACATTGGGCAGGAATATCAGAAAAGGATGCCGAGTAATACTCAGCTGTCTTTCTTTTTTTTTTTTTTTCCTTTTTCTTCATTGTTTTTTCACTTTATTTGACTACTCCTTGATTAAAAGGCTGGGGCTTCGAATGTGACACTTTTTGGAAGAGCTGATTATGCATCACATAAACCTCTTGGCATTAGACAAAGATGCTGCTGTTAAAATTGAAGTTTGTATTAATGCAGCTTCAATCTGAACAGCAATCATTGTTATTAACAGTCATTCAGGGGAATGAGTTCAGCTGGAAGACACTGCCTACTATATTTTCCACTCAAATGATAGCAGAAGGATTCAATGTGTTTTTCAGCAAAGTTTCCTTAGTGTTTCAACTGATCCTTTTATTCAGGGGGGCTTATCCTGATCTCAGACCTCTGGATCCTGCTTGGCCCTGGCTTCTGGATGGATTTGGGTTGCATCCCTCCATGGTTATTTTCTCATTATCCCTTCTAAAAATATTTTGCATAATTGCACTAAGCGGTAGGAACAATGGATTTAGCAGAGGCTCAAGTCCCCAGCCGTCCCTTTCCTTCGGCTAGCGGGATGTGAGGGATGATGCAGGAGAAAGCGCCTCTTGTCTTCTAATCATGGCCTGCGGGTCAGTGTTAATTAACCTCCCTTGCAGAAAGGATCTCTCCTTGAGGAAGTGTGAAAAAGCTGCAATCTGCAGAGCGGGAGTGTGGTCTGCCAGTGGGAATGGGAGATGGAGCACCAGGACTGCGGGATGTCCCGGCCTCGCTGGGAACCCTTCACCAGAAGCTTTGTTCCTCCCACCACCGCCCTACTTTTGGGAGAAGAAGTGGTTATTCATTGCAAAATGATGTCACTTTTTCCACCAAAAGGCTCTAAAGACACCGCTGGTGCAAAAGCATTCCCAGACATTTATGGATGACCAGCCTAGAGGAGGGTTGTGTGTCCATCCGTCACTGGGGGAATCCAGTGCTGAAGGGTGAGGATTGTTATGGCTCAGCCAGATCCCTTTGGATTTCCCCCTGAGATGCCTTTTATTTTCTGTACATTCCAGAGGGCAAATCTGACTGTGCCAGCTCCAGTAACCAATGGACTGCTCTGGGAGGTGCTTCTGAGTGCCATTCCAAAGCACTGGAGCCATTTCTCTGGATTTCCTCCTCTGGGTGACTCTGGAAAGAGCCAAAGCCAATCTGACATTTGCTGGTGTTGCCTTTGCAGCTGAGGCCATTTTCTGAGCAGTTTTCCCTGCCAGCCTTCTCCCAAAAGCACCTGGAATACATGAGCCAAGAGCCAGTGTGCTGCTTTCCTCTCAGCATTTGCTGTCTTGGAATGAGCTTCAGTGCTTCCAAGGGGTGGCACATCCTGCCTGGTGCCTGATTGTACCTTTGTTTCAGTAGTCAGAGGTTGGTTAATTGTCACTGCAATGTCACCAAGAGGGCTGGGTGAGCTCTGTGCTGCAGCTTCTGGAAACTCTTTGGGTTGCTGAGACAACTTTCCTTCATTTTGTCCTTCATTTTTTCCCACCTTGTGCTCTTCGGTTTTCATTTCCTTTGGGCATTTTAAAGACCAAACTTAGAAATGCAACACTGGCACAGGTTGCCCAAAGAGGCTGTGAATGTCCCATCCCTGGAAGTGTTCCAGGCCAGGTTGGATAGGGCTTGGAGCAACCTGGGATGATGGGACACATCCCTGCCCATGGTGGGACCAACCTGTTCTTCAGCACGACCAACAGCATGGGAGAAAAGGACAGATTACCCACTCCTGAGAGTTAAAGTGCTGGATTTTTTTGCTCAGATTCTGCTTCCCAAATGGAGCAGCTCCACTTTGGCAGTCTCAGGCTCCCCACGTGCAGTGAAGGCTGACAGTTATGGAAGGGCAGCTGAAGGTCACCCCTCCATTTCGCTGTTATTAACATCCTTAAGAGGCAACGAGTGAGAGAGGAGAACGAGTCAAAGTTCATTATTCTCCTAATTAGCAGATTACACAAAAATTCAGTAGCTTCCCCAGAATAAGAGTTAAAGATTGAGTTCACTCACCTGTCCCCACAATTAGCAGCTATAAAGGTGTCACAAGGAAATAAAGTGAGAGAAAGGAAAAGCTCCACTTCAATTTGCCCACACAGAAGACACAGCTCCGCTGGGAGAGGGGGATGGAGCTCCAGGCTCCCGGATCTGCGGCGCACAAAGGAGACAGATTTAACACCCCACTGCAATTTTCTGGCAATTAGCCCTTCCCCAGAAGATGCCGTTGACCTCATCAGTCTGGAGATGGAGTTTCGCAGTTAATTTTTCCCAGTACCATCCTAATGAAGAGAGGCAAAGAGGGAGAAGGAGGCAAGGAAAGGGATCACCCAAAAATTACCATTTTCCAGTGGAGAAAGCACAGCTGAGAGGAGCAGGGGGATGAGGTTTATGAGGTCTTCACTTACTCAAACCCAATACACACCCTGTGTCTCAGGTGTGGGTGCCAATGCCAGTGTCCCATTTTGGACAAAAAATTACATTTTTTCAGTTTTTCATTTTGCTGCCCAAAGCAGGAAGGAATCTGTATCTCTGCATCCAAAGCTGGCAGGAAACAAAGATTACTTTCTGCTGTGTCCAACACTAAAAGCCCCAGAAAGGAGGGGGTAAAGTGAAACCTGTTTAACAGACGGAAAATCCCAAATACAACAGCATTTTAAAGCAAAAATGCCAAACACTTTGGTAATATAGGAGTGAAACATCCTGATTTTCACATGATGAAGAGGCTGCTGATGTCTGTAAGTGTGACAAGTTTTAGGCAGGTTCAGGTACTTCTGTGATTGCTGCAAACAAGCATTTCTGGCTGAGCAGACTTTGGTGAGCTGCCCTTCCTGAGCTCCCACCATCCTTTGGCTGCACCTGCCCATCTGATTTTCTCTTCCCACCAAGGACATGGTGTAAATCCCAGGGATTCCTCATCACTCAGCTCTAATTATTCCAGGGAAGGAGGCTGCTTCCTTTACATATTCTTGTCATTTGCCCAGAGTGTGAAAACATTCTTAATTTAGATGCCATGGCCATGCCATCACCTCCAGTACCTGTTTAATAATAAATCCTTCCATGTCAAGACCTGGAGCTTCTCCTGAGGCCAGAGGAGGGACCAACTCCCATTCCTTATCTCCTGAAGAGGTTGGGGATTGTGCCACCCATACCTGGGACTTCCCACACCCTTCTCCATAAGAACTGGAAGGTTTTGATCTGATTACTTCAAAAAACAAGGCTTAGGCCATATAAATTGTCCTGGGAGAAATCAAGACAGAATTCCTGGTTATTTAAAGCAAAATTCCAAAATACATTTCCATACCCACGTTCTCTGTCCCACCGGGGCTGCGCTTTCATTTGCGTCTCTTACGGTAGGTATTATAAGTTAATGAAATAGAAATTGATCTTTAAAGGAGCACTTTTCAAGGTTCAGTTGCTATCTAATTAATTTAATTTTAAATTACATCAGTAATAAAGACTTAATTGCCTTCTTATCAATACATTGTATTTTGTAAAGGACATGCGACTATTTGAACACACCATCGCTTTCTTATAGTAGAATAATTGGTATTTTAAGCATACAACTATCATAGTAAGTGTAAAATATTTATTTGTGCACTTAATTTCAAGTGGTATCAAAACCTCAATGAACATGCAAATGTTCCAGCAGCTGCTGTTTAACTCCTTGCCTGCCTCTCCAGGAAAAACAAGGACTCCTCCACATCAGGGAGAATAGCTGGAATTTCAGTGTGGGGTGATGTACAGAATATTTGTATGGCTACACCAATTTTTGATTGTTAAGAATGCATCTTTTTAGAGCATGGGAGGCAGTTTAGTAAATGTGACAGCTTAGGGTGGGGAACTGCAACTTCTGTCTCCCTCCTAGTGAGGACTTTGAAGCCTCTTACCTTCATGTGAGTCTTATTTTTGTCTCTGAGATGCTTTTATAACCTTTATAAACAGAATCACAGTAAACATGGATGTGTTTTATCTGACTGAAGATCCAGTAACCTCCCTAAGCAGATAAATCAGTGTCAGTCTTTACTCCTTTCCTTTCCTTAGCACAGGAGCTGGATTTTGGCATGTAAAGGCTGCCAGGAAGAATAATTAAATACACCACAACTACCTTTGATTTAAAAATGGCAAGGGGGAAAATTAAATCTTGCAGAAGCCACAACACATCCACAGAACTGTGTAGTAACTTGTCAACTAAATTAAATTCGAGCAGTTCACTTCAACCATAAAAATAATATAAGCTGTGATATATTTCTTTCATTTGTGTGTGTGTGTATATCTATATGCTATATAGCACCATTTAAAAATAGCACCTTCTACCTGTGAAGTAGCAAGATCAGATATTTCTGAACTGCTTTCAGACCTGTCATCACACCATCACTATTCAGCTTTAATAGATGTTGAGTTTAAAATGCACCACAGAAATATATATATTTTTAAAGATACACAGTAAATGAGATTTGAGCCACTCTAATTTGTGTCATCTGCTTCCAGCTTCATGGCACTAGCTGCTGTAATAATTCTTGTTATTATTCTGGTATTTAGTAGCCCATCTAAGATGAATATCTCATGGCTGTATGCTTTTCACATCCCATAATGTGCTGGTCCTGCAGGCCCTCTGACTCTGGGGGTGGCAATGCCAGAATTCTTCCATCAGCAGGATTTATCATGGCATCTTTGTGCTCCTGGTGGGGATTGGCTATGACACTGCTTGCAAGGGCAGATACAAAAAGGAAGAAGTAAGTTTTGGTGTCTCCTCATTAATCTCTGAGAAATTAAAAGTGAAGAAGGTGAAAGATCCCACCTTTGAGAGAGGAAGGCAGGTCCCAGCTGAGAACATCAGCCCTGCTCAGGTGCCTTCTCCATGGCCTGGTCCTGCTGAAGCAGAGCCTTCAGAAGAGCTGGTGGCCAAAGCACGAGGTGTCAGAGGGCAGGAACTGGTCGCTGTGGTGTGGGGCTCTCCCATGGCCAGTGACCTCAGCTTCCTCAGGAACCTGCAGAGCAACATCAGGAGCAACAACTCTGCCCCACAAAGCTTTGATGCAGAGCAGGGATGAGAAGCTGCTGTGATCTTCTCTCACCTTTAGCCCTGTATTTCTTGCACAGACAATAACTCCGTTTTGTCTCTCTTCCCAGGAGGTTTGTTTCTCCTGCTCGTGTTTCTCTTTGTGATGTGGAAGGAGTTTGCAGCTGACTTTCAGAAGTACATCCTCCTGGAGAGGAGCGAGAGGTGCCTGGATGATGTCCCCGTGCACGTCTACTACGGGTGGTCCTTCATGTTCGCCGCCGCCGGGGTGCCCCTGGTGTTACTCTCTGGACTCCTCTTCTTCCTGGTGGGCAGAGACATTATGGATTCCCTGCAGTAAGACAAATGTGGAAAAGGCTTTGAGAAAACTGGTGATGCTCCTTGTAAAGAAACACACCCAGGTTTTGAGGGCTTGATCGTTTTTGTAGCTCTGATTGTTGGGATAGGCTATACTCGGTCTCGTGGGGAGGCAGGGATGGAGCGCTGAGCATCCACAGAATCCCAGGATGGTTTGGGTTGGATGGGACCTTAAAGTGCCACCCCCTGCCACGGACAGGGACACCTTCCCCTATCCCACTTTGCTCCAAGCCCGACCCAGCCTGGCCTTGGACACTTCCAGGGATGGGGCAGCCACCCTGTGCCAGAGCCTCCCCACCCTCCCAGCCAGGAATTCCTTCCCTATGTCCCATCTCACCCTGCCCTCTGGCAGTGGAAGCCATTCCCTATGTCCTGTCCCTCCATCCCTTGTCCCAAGTCCCTCTCCAGCTCTCCTGGAGTCCCTGTAGGCACTGGAAGGTTTCCCTGGAGCTTTCTTTTCTCCAGGTAAACACCCCCAGCTCTCCCAGCCTGGCTCCAACCACTGTCCATCCCAAAACAGCCCCAGTGAACATCCAGCTCCAGCCTTTTTCCACTTTGGAGATGTTTCAGCACGTTGGTGGGGTTTACACCAGTTGTTTTCCTCAGCCCAAGGGAAAGCAGATCTCTGTCAGCAGAGCTGCACATCCATATTCAGCAGAGCTGGAGTTTTACAGCATTCCCAGCATCCTGGTTTCTTGTAAAAGGAAATCGAATCTGGCTGCGATGGTGCAAGCAATAATGTCTATTTCTAAAAAGCAATTAAGGATGATTTTTTTTTTCTTAGCTAGCTCTAATTGACGTCAAAGGACAACCATTTTAATGGGATGTCGGGAAACATGAGAAACTTCTTTCTTCCTTAAAAGCCCTGATTCTGAAGATACAAATGTACCTGGACCTAACCTAACTTTCAATACGGGAATAAACCAATTTCTGTGGCTTGAAGCATAACATGAATTAATTAGTATTTCTTTACAGCAATGCTTTCCTCTGCATTTACTATTTTCCCTGGATACAGTTTTGGGGGGATTCCCAACCCAAAAACTGAAAAGTGATCCTGGCTGAGGGAAAAGGAGGGGGGACAATAGCATGATATTGTGATATCACCAGTGCCCCATCAGTTCTTCAAGTGGCAATTTCTCACTATAAATTTGTTTTGAATAATTTTTGGCATTACTCTAAATTTAATATTTTCTCTGGACACAGCTTGGGGAAGTTTCTCAGCCCAAAAACTGAATGATGGTGGGAGCTGGAGGAACAGGAGTGGGGACAATAGCACTACTATTTTTTGGGGCTTTGTTTTGGTCAGCCGTGTCAGGCAGTTTAGCTGGGACCTTGTTGTATTCTACAAACACCTTACAAGAGTCAAATCCAAAAAGACAAATTATATAACATTTAAATAGATTTAAATTCTTGCAGCCATCCAGGCTGATGTGTAGGCAGTGACCCTACAAAGAGCAATCACCTCTTCATTCTCCACCAAACTATCCAGTGAAATAATTTGTCCTGAATATGCAGAAGTTTGTAAAGACACTTGAGAAATGACAAAGATTTGATCTTGTCGTGTTTTTTTTGGGTTGGAGCGTGGTGCTTTGAAGTAGTTTGTTGGGTCCTTGTTTGCTGAGCTCATTTGCATAAATTTTAAATCAAACTTCTCAAAACGCGCCGTTCTTGTGGATGTCAGAGTTTGTGCTCAACTCACATCTCCCCAGCTTTATGTCACACTATTGACTCAGTGCAGTTAATTAATAATGGAATGTAAATCTCTGCTAGGAAGCGCTGAAGATTGTTGGCAGTGTAAAAATGTTTGTTAATGCTCTTCCTAAAATATTATTCAAGTCTGGCGTTTCTTTCCTTTTGGAGCAAGTTCTAATTATTCTTTTACAAGATTCATGGCATACACAGAGTGAGGAATTGTAATTCCCCCATGTAAAGATTAGTTCTTTCATATGAATAACAGGCTTGGGCTACAGTTCTTAAGCAATATCCACACTGTTTTCCCTTAATAGAAATTTTGTTTGAATAGAATTGGGACGTGCAGGTAAAAATCATGGTTTTTTTTCCCAGTGAATGGATGTTTCATGACATTCCCAAATGCACAGAGATTTTAGCGTTTTATTTGGCCATTCTAAACTGTTTTTTTTTTTTTTTTTTTTGCCTCATTCTCCTTGGGTAATGCCTGTTCCCCATCAGTTCTTCAAGGGATAATTTCTCACTATAAATTCCCTTTGAATAATTTTTGTCATTTAATTATCTATTCAATGTGGAGATGAACACTTATGGTCACAAAGAATAAAAGTATACAATCTAGGAGCAGAAGAGGTCAAGATTTACAGTCACTTGCCTTTCACTGATCCCATAAAACAATCCAAGCATGCAGAAATGATGATCCCATAAGAGACACCAGGGCAAAGAATGAGAATGCAGCAAGAAATCCATCAGACTTATTGATATCTGTGAAGCTGAGGATCCCTGAAGTTGTGAATATAGAAGTGAGTTTTATATTATAGAATGAAATATTTATTAACTTTCTCCATCTGTTCTTTAAAAAATTTAGTTTAATGTCATCAAGGCATTTATGGAATACATTTAGCTTAATCATGCATTCATGCCTTAGGGAGTAAAGCATCCCTGGAGACTTGCTCTTTCTGGATCAGCTCTAGAACAAGCAATAGCTTAAAATTCCATAATTCTTTGGAAATATGCCACATGGCTTTGAATCATTCTTGAACAGAGGGTGTTTTATTTAAAATATGTGGTATTGTGCACATCCAATGGTTGTCTGGTATTGAGCTTTTGGGTAACCTCATAAAATCCTTGATTTCCCACAGGTTTGGAAAATCTCTCAAAATTAGATATCTATCTAATAGTCACAAAAATAAGAAAGAATGAGATTGTAGAGTTGCATAATTAAAGAAATTAACTCTTTCATTCACATTCCATATTTATTGCCAGCACAAGGCCAAATACATCATTTTGGTGGATGAAAGACTTCAATTCCTTTGCCCTCAAGTTTCCCATGGCAAGTATAACTCAAGCAGACAAAATTTGCTGAGAGAGTCATCACTTCTGTAGGAGAAATTTTTTAAAAAAGGAACTCATGGGCTCAGTGGTAGAGTTGGAAATTGCAGAAACCACGCTCGCTTTCATCTGTTGAATGTGAAGTTTGATGAAAGGATATTATAGAGTAGTGACAAGGACCTAATTCTGATCCAAGTTTTGTCATTATAAATCATGAGTAATTCCGAAGGCTGCAGCAGACCCTTATCACTGCTAAACATCTGTAAGTCAGATCAGAACCGGCACTAATAAATACATTCAAAATGCATAATTAAAACAGTGATTTCACATCACTCTGATGAATTTTAGTCAAGGATTTCTTCAAGGATGCTTTTCTCACATTAGCATTTGATGTTAGTAAGCAATGAATAATTCCATTTTTTCTTTCCAACATCTGGGACACTTCCTGCTTTATTTTGCTACTTACTGAGCACTCTGCAGGAAATATTAATGAATCCTGGGTGTTGAAACACGGGCCCTGTGGATCGTGCTCAGGAGGCAGCCTTACGTAGGAGAGGTGTCTTGAGATTAAGAGCTTGATTTTGGTGAAAGATACTGGGAGATTTGCCAAACCTGAGGGAAATACAGGGATTTGAGGAGGTCACCCAAAAGTCCCTGTAGCAACTTCTTTCATGCCATGGAGCTCTTCCGTGAGCTCTTCCCTCATGCCTCAGAGACAACAATTAATGATGAGGGTCCTTCTCCTTGGTCAGATCAGCTCTTTTTACAGCGATTCTGAAGGCAGCACCCAGGGGTGCCCCAGGGCTGGGAAGGTGCTGGTGCTTGGCTCCACCTCGCCCCAGGAGAGGTGGCCCAGGGCAGCAGCACACCCCGAGAGCATCACGGCCCTGCCCAGCTGCTTCCTCACCCCTCCAGAGGCCTGCGGGATTCTCTCTTCCTTGGGAAATGATGAAATTCTGTGTTTGGAGAGCTCTGCTAGCCCTTCAGAGCAACCTGTGGAGGAAACCTGAGCTGAGCATCAGGAGAGCTTCCAAAGGAGGAATTAAATGTCCTTCTGTGTTAGTGTGAAGTGACTTTGACACTTCAGCATCTGACCAAGGGGGTGAAAGCATCCTCTACCATGGAAAACAGGTAAGTTGGAACTTGCCCATCTTCATTCCAGCTGGGTGTGCAACAGCCCCTCTGGGATTTACCACAAACCTTGCCACTTTTTCTTTTTTTGTCCAGAAAAATTAATCTTATCTGTCCAGGTCATATTTTGACTTTGGTCAGACACATTCCTTGGTGGTTCCTGTAACAAAATGTGGGTGTGTAGAACCAGGATCCCCACTGGAGCTGGTCCCCTAAGGACCCCTTGTCCCCTGAGTGCCCCCAAAACCCGCTGCGAACGGGAAGAGCTGGGTGTTCCATCCCTGTGGAAGGTGCCCACAGCCCCTGCAGCAGCCCCGTCCTGCTGGCTCAGCACCTCCTGAAGAGCCCCTTGTCCCTCAGGCAGTGCAGGGGGGAGAGGCACAGATGTGGTGCAGCAAATGAAGGCACAGACAAATTAAAACAAATGGGGAGAGGCGCGGGGCTGCGGCTGGGGCAGGATTCGGCCCTATCAGCAGAGCCCCTCTACAAGAGTGCACAGCACCTCAGTCCCACAATCAATAAGCTGTACATGCTGCAGCACAAAGAGCCCTTATCTGCAGTACCACTTTGAATTTAGTGAATTTATTTAATCCCTGATGCCTGCAGAGCATCAGTCCTGTCTTCTGGCTTAATTTATTTATTCCGGTGATGTATTTTTAGTCTTTCAAGTCCTTGACATTTGAGAAGCAGATTTCCCCCCACCCCGTTTCCTAAAAAACATATGAATTGGAAAAAATTATTTACAGAAAAGTATTTTTTTTTCCTAATTCATTTCCCACTTTTCCTTTTGGGAGCCAAGAGAAATACAATATCAATACTAATAACCATAAATGGAATGGATTGGGAAAGGCTCCTTTTCCCCCTGCCTGTTTCTAAATCAATGCTGGACATTCACTGATCTTCTTTCTTCCTTCTCTCTCTTGTTTTTGTTTTTTTTTTCCCCTACAAGTATTCTCTCCTCCTCTTTAAATAAAAAAATAAAAATCACCTATTTTCTAGATATAGCCAAGATTCTCTGCTGCATTTAGTTTGGAAATTGTCAGGAGAGAAGGTGATACTCTTATCTCCTAGATCAGATGAATCCTTGGTTCCACTCAAAAGAACCAGTGGGTTAAAGAGTGGGATTATTGTTAAAAAGAAATACCAAAGGAAAACAATAGTCTGGCAGGTACTAAACATTTGGTTGTGGAAAGATAGACTGAAGCTTTATAAAGTTCAGGATCTGCAAAGAAGGAAAAAGTCTCACCTGGCCTTGGCTGAGTCAAAGACAGCAGCAGGAAATCTGGAAAAATTAAAAATACAGTAGCACGAAGAGCAATTTTTTGAAAAAGAGAGGGTTTATTTTATATTCTCTATGTATCTGTATATTATCTATGTATTTCCCTATCCATTACCCAATATTTCCTTGTGTTTACATTAAGAGAAGCAACAAACACCAAGAAGAAAGAACCTCTCCTAGAATAGAGACTCTGCAAAAATATATTACATGTCCTCAAAAACAACTCTGCAAAGTCACAGAACATAATTGTTTTTCCATTTCAGATATAAGATTTTTTAAAATTTTTTTTCTATTTAAATACCAGTCCATGAGAGAAGATGTTCAACAAACCGTCAGTGCTCAAATAATATTGGCTGAGCTGGCTGATTTAAGATTTTAATATTAATTAAACCTCATTGGTTACAAGCTGGAATAATTGCAGTGCCCAATGAATAAATGTGGCTTGTACTGAAACAGAGGCATCAATCTTTGGGCATCCCTGCCCCTCAAAAAAGAAGGAAAATGTAACAATTTAAACAAATCAGCCTCAAAATTGGTCCTGCTGGGTGTTGAGGTGGAAATTTTGCATCAGCCCCCATGAAATACAGGCAGAGGTTTTACCTCTCAAATCACAAACAAGGTCATTACATGAGTTAAATAATTAGCTCCAAAATCCAGCCATTAATCAAATTTATTGCCAGGTTTTGCATCACAGCCCTAAAATAAGCTTGGGGGGAGGTACCAGCTGCCCTGTGGGGACAGGCACCCTCAGCCCCGTGCTCCTGGTGTCCCCAGGCTTTTTTGGTGGCATCCTTTCTTCTAAAGGAAATCCTGGTGCTGGGAAAGTGAATGGATTCTAAAGGCACTAAAAAAAATACTTTGGTCCCTCTGAAGGTCAGATAATTTCATCTGCATCTTCAGGATGGTGCTGATGAAGGCTGGAAGCATCTTCAGAGATGCTCTCAAGGTGGTTTTTCCTTCAGTTTTCCTCTGTAAATCAAGATCCCACCCCTGTTTTCCCACCTGCCTTGTGAAACCCCCGTTATCCGAACCCAAACACAGGCACACACACTTCACACATTAAATATCTGTAAAATAACTGGTGTTCTCTGAGGAGAGACTCTTCCTGTGCCACAAACACTTCAAAGGCTTCAAAGCAGAGGTGCCTGCAGCGAGGGCTGAAGCTGAGAGCACAAGTGCCCGTTTCAGCTGACACCAGAGGTTTCAGGCTCTTAGGGCATAAAGCATTTTTCACTCTGTTTAAATTAATTTAATTGGAAAAAAAAAATTGAAGGAGAAATAACTCAAGACATTTTTGAAGGTGGGGGTTTTTTGTGTGCATGTGATTTTTTTTTTTTTAATGGAAAATGCCGTTTTGAGATTAAACCTGCTTTTAAGTAGATATTTTAAAATGAAAATATCTTCAGTGTTTAAGGAGGGACTGCAGAGACCTTCTGTTTGCAGCCATTTTAGAGGGGTGTTTTTGCTTTCTCTTGCTTTGCTGGTGCTCAAAGGATGTTCCAGCTCCAGGGTGAGCAGCAGCTCCAGGCTTTCCTTGTGCTGCCCCTTCTCAGAGTTAATGCATTGGTTCTGCAGGCAGAAAAAAAGAGACATTTCCAGTATTCCAGAAGCCAAAAGGCGTGTGCTGGATGGAGGGATTTGCTGTACATCCCAGGCAGGAGATGCAAATCCAGTTTTATACTGGGAATGCAGCACCCTGTGCCCAGCACCTCCTGCACTCCTGCCCAGGGAAGGCTGACAGACAGAGGATATTCTGTTTTTATTTTTTACAATTTTTATTTTTTTTTTAATAAACATGCCAAAAGAGTGGAAATACCTCGGTTTTGATAGTCATGGCATGGGAATCTTCTTGAATTTTTGAACTTATTTACCCAGAGGTAGCCCCTACACTCTCAATGCTTCAGCAAAGAACACGCCAGGTTTGGGAGCATTTTCTGGTGCTCGCTGGTGTTTCCAGGTTGTTGCAAGAATGCCAGTGGGGTTTGGATGCTTTGTAGTTGGACAAAGATCTTGGGATGCATGGCTGCTTGAGGAACTCAGGCACGGCAGAGGATTCCCTGGACTAGCCAAAAATAGCTCTTAAAAATGGAGAAGGTCTATGCCATCTCATTAATTTAAAATAAAAATGTATATAAATACACACACACACACACACATATTAAACATATACTATATATAAAATATATAAATAATATAAATATAATATAAATAGAAATATAATATAAATATAAATATATAATTTTTAAATGTATTGATTTAAATAAAAATATGGTCATTAATACAATAAGGAGAATAATTAAAGTATTGTGGGAACGAGTGTGTGAGTGCAAGTACCTCCCTGACCCAGTCCAGGGCTGCATTCCATGATATGCAGCACAGGGAAACAGGGATTTCAGCCCAGCTTTCCTGCCTTTCCCCACCTGCCCAGCACCACATTCCCTGTGATTCCCTGTGCCCTCCTTTTAGGCTCAGCCCTTGGTTAGGGAAAATCACTGGAGCGTCACGGCCGCATTGATTTAATTGATTGAGGCTCTGCCCAGAACCTCAGCTCCACTCCCAGGCAATGCTAATCAGAGCCAGAGATAACAGCAGAAGGAATGAAAAGGTTTCTTCCCTAGGACTCCAAAGTGCCTTTGGAAAAGAGGAAATTACCACAATGTGTTTTCTCTCTGCTGCCCTGGGTTTGCCAGCGGGTGCCCAGCACAGCCTCCCTGGGTCCCTATGGATCAGCTCGACTGCAAGGAGGCTGCTGGAGCTCCAGTAGGAGCAGCCACGCTGCCATGGGTTTAGGATTTTATCCTCCAAATTTTATTATTTTTATCCAGCTCTACTGTAGAAAATCACAGCTGGGTCTCCAGCCAAGGCAGTGACTGAAATTAGCAGGAAAGACATAAAACCTCCTGGTTTAGGGGACTTTGTTCTTTACTTCAACAAAACTTGAGCGTTTCCCAGTGTGTGATGATGACATTATCCATTACAAATGGATACCCAGGATAAATAGACCCATAAAATTAGGGGAAAGCAGGGCTGCTGCAGCAAGTCTTGATAACACCCCGAATAATTCATCCTCTGCAGCAGCTCCTCAGCCCAGAGCCACCAACCTCCCCACAGGGTCCCTGTTTCCACCCCTTTAACGAGTGAGGCACAGATGTGTTTGGTCTTCTAAAATCAAATCAAAATAAAGAGCCTCTTTTTGCTACCTCCTTGTTGAAGTGTCCTGAGGTGCATTTTGAGTTTGGGCCAAAAAGAAATCATTATCTTGGAGCTGCCTAATGCTTCTTCATCTTGGCTCGAGCCAGCAGGACACGGCCTCAGCTCGACCTTCTGCAGTCCCTGTTCTGGGGTGAGGAAATGCACGAGGGATTTTCAGAGGATGCAGGATTCCATCCACTCATGGAATCATTTAGGTTGGGGAAACCCTCTAAGATCATTGTGACCAAACATCCCCCAGCACTGCCAAGGCCAGCACTACCCCATGTCCCCAAATGCCACATCCATGTGGATTTTGAACCCCTCCAGGGATGGGGACTCCAACACTTCCCCAGGCAATTCCAAAGCTTCTCCCTGCATCTTTTCGACACATCCAAAGCAGAGCTGAGAATGGTCCTGGGCAATTTGGCCATTGCTTCTCCATGGGCATGGAAGGGGTGGGGAGCTGCCCTTAGGATGGGTAATTTGGGAGCAGCGTGAGTGGAAACAGATCCTGTGCCTTTCTTCACCTGGATGTGCTTCTGCCCTAAGTGAAATGCAGGAGTAAAACTCAGGGCAAAAGCTGAATCACTCTCGCTTAATTTAGCAGTGAAATCACAGGCAAGGCACTACAGTACCTGCTGAAGGGTGCAGTGATTTCTAATTGTGGATTATGCAGCTAATCAGTACCAATCAACATTTTATGATCTTGACTTAATATTTAATATAATGTTAATTATAATTGCTTTTGCCACAAACTGTGTCAAATCCTAGGTGTGATTTCCCCTCCTGGTGTTCCTCGCAGTACTGGGTGGGCTCTGTGATGGGGGCTGAGCATCCCTTCCCAAAATCCCACCCAGCAGCACAGACCCACCTCCCTGCTCCCTCTGCCTCGAGTTGTGATGCTAATTAAATGCTGGTGAGTCTCAGCGTTATTAGAATGGAGTTTTTATCTCACACAAGTACCTTCCAGCTACAAACAGGGGAAGTTCATTTAATTAAAAATAATTTTAGTGTAAGTTAATGTGAACACAGTTCAATTACTCTGAAATATGTTTAATTTTTTTCCCCTTTTCTTCTTTCAAAGTCTACCAAGAGGCTGTAGAACAAAAGCTCCAAAAACTGGAACTAACATCAGATAACCCAGATGATGCATTCAGGCCATTTCTGTGTATTTAGACAGTGGCCAAAATGTCATTACAAACAGGAGCAGAAATGTGCAACAATGGTAAAGTCACACTCACGGCACAGGCACCATTCCTGTGATTGTTTATTGAGCATCCTCAGGGTTTCTGTCCTTAAGTGCCTTTGTGCCTCTTCAAAGTGCTTTTTCCAGCTCCCACCTGATGTCTGTGTGTGACAACTCCAAAGCCCTCAGCTCTGCTGTGCACAAACCACTCGGGACCATCTTCACAGGCCGGCTGGTTTTTGATCTAATTTAAACTTTATTTTAAAAAAAGAAACCTAAAAAAAGTAAAACCAAAGAAAATCCAGAAAGTTAAAGAATGGAATTACCACTTGGGCAATTTTTTAATATCCTAAATGCTCTGTGTGAACATCAGCAGGATGCTGCTGGCCCACACACCTCATTTAATTCATTTAACCTGCATATTCCCAAAATCCATTTCCAGCTGGGCTTGGGATCTGGACCCACACCTCATCTTGTCCTGGGGTCTCCCCTGAGCATGAGCTGGAGTTTCCTTTTGCAATTAATAATTTATAGACTTCTGCTTAAACACAGGCACGTTTGATGCCTTTTTTTGCTTTCACAGCATTCAGTGGAGCTACAGCCCAGTGTCAGCAGCTGGAGCTGC